GCATGTTAGAGAAAGTGGGAAAGTACAATGGGTGAAATGTCTGTGCCTATTAGCAAAGGAGAGCAAAGAACTGAAAGAGTTGGAGGCGTGAATAGGGAAGAAAACGCCACACAACACGGAAAATGAAGGGAAGTGCAGAGAAAAACTTGGAAGAAAGGGCGGATGATAAATGAAATGTGGACAGTCTTAGTAACAAGTGCTAAATAAATTAAAATTATGTTTCTGTCTATTAACATTATTATCTGAAGCTGGGAAGCAACCGCCCGAGATTTTGTTGGCTTGGTTTTTTTCGCAGTTGGAAGGGAGGGAGATTTGCTCAGGCTCTGTGACTCCGAGCAGTCAGATGGGTGGCCCGCCAGCACAGGTCACCTGAGTTCCCCCTGACGTCGGCAGCAGCGCTGGCTCCTGCCTTCCCCGGGCTGGCGTGTCAATTACCCTACCTAGTCCACAGAAATGGAACCAAACCAACTGTAGCAACATTCCTCCAATCAGAGACGACAGGCCCCCCGGTCCCAGTCTTTCCAGCGAAAGGAGTCCCAGTCGGGACCAGGGGAGCAACTTGCTTTCGAAGCGACTATCTCCAACCATATCCCCTCCCGGTCTCCCGGATGGCCGCCTGGGCAGGCGCTGGCCGCACCGGTCGCGACGCGGGCGGGAGCAACGCGTTCAAGTGACTCCAGTCGCACCAGGCTCCCCGAACCTTTGTCCGCCCTCCCGCCGCAACCTCGCAGGCGGGGCCCAGCGAGTCGGCAGCGCGGGGTAAAGTTTCAGGGTAATCCCTGGACGGGTCGAGTCCGAGACGGCCTTTACCAAGAACGCCGCCTGCATGCCCGCCCAGGGGAGACGCAGCTTGGGCAAGCCCGAGGGCGGCGAGCAAGCACCTCGGAAAACCAACAGGTGGGCAGCCGCGAAAGCTCCGATGATGGCACAGAAGTGAGCAAGGATCCTCAAACTACCAAAACTGTAGTTGGGCGCTAATTCCCCTCCCACGGCTCCCAGTTCGGCGTCCGGGATCGTAGCTCAGCTCCCCGCGCCCACCCCGTAAAGGTGCTGGTCCCTGGTGCAACCTCACCTCGCGCGGCTCCCACCTCACGAGCCTCCCAAATCAGCGCATCCAAGATGTCCCCACCACCCAGCACTAGGCTGGGCCCCGCAGAGCTCCGAGCACGCCTGGCTCTCCCGGGTGCCTCAGCTCCGGTGCGCGGCCTCAGGGGAGGCGGCGGGAGCGGCAGCCGCCGGAGAAGGCGCGCGGCACAATCCGCGCCCTCGCCGCCGCCGCCGGCTGCCCCAAGCCACGCCTCCGACCCGGCTCCGACCACGCCCCCATCCCGGTTCTCCTGACAACCCCCCAGGCCACGCCCCTGACCCGGCACTCCCTCCGCAGACCACCCCCAACCCCGACCCCTCTACCTACACACCTACCCCCATTCCCATCCGGATATCCCCTGCGGGTTCCAGGTCCCGCTACACTTACACCCCTCGCCTGCTCTTCTCTCCTTAACTACAAGCCCCCCAACCTCCTCACTCCCACCTACCCTCAATTGCCCCGTACCATCACCCTCAGCGTAATTCTTACTTTCCGCCCACCCCAGATAAAACCCAACCCCGGCTTCGCGGGAGGCAGGAAGAATGGCCCCGTCGCCAGGGCAACCGCCCCCCACTGCCTCCTCGCCCCACCTCTGCCTGGGCGAGGAGTTCACTCTTGGGGAAAGCATCATGGCTGTCTTTTAAGTGGCAAAAGAAACACGAGACGACGCTTTTTTAGCCTATTGGTTTCCCCAGGGCCTAGGATAAGTCTTAGGTAAACTGTCTCAGGGAATCCAATCTAAGAAATAGCACCCTTCCTAGGTGGTTCAAGGTCTAATGATTAATTCCCATTAAAACCACAGAAGCGAAGCACAAACTCTTCAGCTTTAAAATCTGGGCCTCAAACATTCCATGATTGTTTCCTGATAGGCAACTAATGGAATTCATAAAATAAACATGTATTCTTTCTAAAAGTGTCTTTTTTAGATGACTCATTTGAGTGGCTATGTACCAGCTCTATTGTAACAAAAGAGGAATAATGATGACCATTATTTTTAAACTAAACAGTGAAGAGTCAAAATTAGCGTTCTACTTTTTAAGTAATAAAAAAGCTATTCTATGTAATAAGCCAGTGGTAGAGGTATTGCCATTTGCATTTGCCAAAACCCACAGAATATACAACAGAAAGTAAACTCTCATGGACTCTTTCATCATATTACTGATCAAGATTGGTTCATCAATTTTAACAATGTGCCACACGAATTTAAGCAGGAGAAACCTGTGCATAAGGGAATATATGGAAACTCTTTTCCACTTGATTTTTCAGTAAATCTAAAATCATTATTAATTAAAGCATGCACCAAATATTAATGGTTATTTTCTCTGAATAGTAGAAAAAAGGGCAAATTTTCATCTATTGTTGAGCCTATTGAAATTCCTCAATTTTTTTTAATAATGAGCATGTATCTTTAAAGCAGATATAATTTATTATTTTTCATTTTTATAACTTGAAAAAAACTGCACAAAACTCTTACAAATGTTAAAAAGAAATCTATTGTAAATTACAAAAATATCAAGGGCTAAATTGAGAGCTTTTTTAATCTCTTTAGATTTAGCACAAATCTAAGGACAGAGTTTTTTTTATTTTTCTTTTAAAATAAATTGTATCTTAAAGAATCATTTCTGACTGCTTGGAAACCATTAATAATAGTTACATGCAACATTTATCCTAGTGTTGCAAAAACACTATTAAAAAAATAGACATATGGCCCTCCCTGGTGGCGCAGCGGGTTAAAGCACTGCACTGAGGAGCTAAAGCCACTTCCGCATGAGTTCGATTCCCGCCTGCCCCGGAGGAGACCACATGGCGTGGCAGACCTCTCCTGACCCGCTCGCTGCTCCCCTCAGCAGTGTACTTCGTCGATCTGCCTGTTCTGCTCCCCACTCTGTCTCTGGTGAAGCCTCTCACCGCCCTTGAGCCTCTGGCCTGTACCCCAGTTCTGTATGTACAAATAAATAAATCTTTAGAAAAAAAAAATAGACATGTTCTTAGGGAGATCTATCTAGCTAGCAGGTGAACAAATTTATTAGAGCTGTGAACATTCCACTTTTCTGATTCAAGTCACACTGGGCAAGCCCTTTATCTTTTTTAGTTTTAGTTCTTCAACATGGAACCAGCGATACCTCCCTCTCTGGATTGCTCAGATAATACAAAATTTTAGAACATATAAGACTCTTGGTATCATCTTAGCACATATAAGTTACTTGATAATTTCCTGTACTTAAAAAATGCATTTTTAGACTTTTAGTGAGAATCCTGAGCCCTGTTACAAAGGATAGTTCTGATTTTAGATTAACTTGTTAGGGGAAGGCAGGTGGTTGAAGAGAAAAACCACTGATTTGACATTAATTTTCTAAACCCAGCACCATCCAGGATCAAATGAATATGTCACAGAATTTCATTAGATCTCACTTTCTCTTCTGTCAACTGAGAGATTTGGATAAGCAACCTCTGCATTTCTTTCAGCTTCCATGATTCCATGGGAAATCAATCACAGTGTGACTTCTGAGTAACATCATTTCAGTCATCTGAGTGGCTGTTCACGCTACCTATTGGTCCATTGTCACTTACCACCCTGCAAACAAATCAGGCATGTGTGTACTGCCCTTCCCACAAATGGGAATCTCTGAACATTTCATGCAACTCTGTGATCTGCTGTACCCAGTTCTGACTAGCAGCTTTAACTTCTTTGATGGCCAATCCAAAGCTTCCACCAAATATGCATCAGAGCACCATTAGTGCTTTCTGCAGGCTCGCACCCAGCAATAGAAATGACTTTTCTCAGTAAGTCTAAGGCATACTTTACTTTCATGTGACATCTTTGCAATTAAAACACATATTTCCAATAATATGAGCACTGAATATACTACATCCTTTTCATTCATTATTTTCTTGAAACCTCAAAGCAACTTTTGAGATCCTATTATTTTCATTTTATAGATGGGGGAAAACAAAGTTCCGAGAAGTTGAGTGAATTGCCTGAGAGCACACAGCTAGTCAGTGATTGCACCAGGGCTTGACTTCATGCTCCTGCTTCAGACACTGAAAAATGCAGTACCGTAGTTCCCCCAAGACCCTGAAGAAGCATTGTTATACTCAGTCTGCCAGAAGTCCCCTCTTTCTCAGAAGGTTCTCAGAAAGGATAAGAGAGGAATGTGTTATAAACGAACATTTGTGCCCTGCAAATTCATATGTGGAGTCCAAAACCCTAATAAGGTGGTGTTAAAATGTGGGACCTTTGGAAGGTAAGTGCATTTACTTAAAGTCATGATGATGGAGTCTCATGATAGAATTAGTATTTTTTAAAAAGATTTATTTATTTATGCATACAGAACTTGGGTACAAGTCAGAGGTGCAGGGGTGGTGAGAGGATTCACCAGACATTGAGCAGGGAGCAGAACAGGTAGATGTGCCCTGTGGATCACCTCTGGGCCAGAGCTCATGAAGTGGCTGCTGCTCACTTGCAGTGCTGAGTCCTAACCCTTTAAACCACTAGGGAGGGATGGAATTAGTATTCTTAGAGGATGAGGAAGAGGGACCAAAATGCACTCACTCTTTCTGTCTCTTTTTACCAGGTGAGGACATGCAAGAAGGTGGCCATATACCAAGAAAAGGTTCCTCACCAGGTGCTGAGTGTACCAGCACCTTGATCTTGGACTTCACAGACCCCAGAACTGTGATATTTTGTCATGGCAGTCACAGCTAACTAACACACTAAGGCAACTCCTTTCTCCTTTTAGGTTTTTGTTTTGTTTTATTTTTTTGAGGAGTTTCCACAAAGTAACACTTGTGATCTTGGACCCCAGTCTCTACTGATAAAAGAGTTACCTGACTGGTGAGGGGAATCCATTGCTCCACCTACTGTGAAAAAATTTGGACATAAAAAAGTGCAGAGGATTCATACTTTTCTTACCTCTCCACACAGACTTCAGCAGGACACGATCTGGGGGCAATGCCTCTACCTCAGAGTCAGACTGTCACCTCGGTCGGGTGATTGAAAGTTTGTACCTGGTAGGGGAAAGTAGGAGACACTCAGAAAATATTAGCAAGCACTTTTCACACAGTCCTAACATCACATTCTCCAAATGATTTTAGCAGATACTCCAAGTATCATTGACATTTTTATCTTCATCTCTCAGTATCCAGCTCTTGTTTCTTAATTGATTGTGAAGGTGGGACGTGAGTGGGACTGACTAGCCCACAATAGCTTTGAAGTCTTAAGAAGGTAAGGCCTGAGAGCATCAGACACTTCCAATCCAGTACTGTGGACGTAGGAAAATTATTTCACCTCATTAAGAATTTCTCTTTCTCCTTATCTGACATAATATGGTGACGGTTAAGTGTGAAAATATATGTAGAATCTTGGCTCAGTGCCTGGCAAATGGTAAGATGCACAATAAGTGCTGGCTGTCTTATTAATTAGAATGCAAAAGAAGGATTTGCTGTCTTTTATCCTAGTGTTAATGAGAACAGACACCTCTCTAACTTAAGTGTTTTATCACTAAAGAATAATGTTTGGTACTTGTCAAATTATTTTGGCATCTAAGTACCATTTGGCGAGGACAGGGAGAATTTAAAGAAATTGGGCAGAGAGAGAAAAGAATCTTCCTTTATTTTGTTCAGGAATAGGGGATCGAGGCCAAGGGGCTTAGAAAGCAGGAGGACAGAGACCAAAAGCCAGCTCCAGCTCCAGCCCCAGTGCCTGGTGCTCTGGGAAGCGGAGGCTTTCCCACCTGGATTTGGAGGGGGTGTGATGGGCAGGGCAGTCTGAAGTAAAAGAGCAGAAAAAGTATCCACAGCTTCCTAACCTCTTAGCCAGAATTTGCACAAAGCTATTGGGCTATAAAGTAGCTGATTCCAAAGTGGTTCTCAAAGTTCTCTTAGACCCCTCAGCCCTCCACAAACTATAAATTTAGGATTTGAGAATCCTAAATTAACTAGGCTAGAGAACAGGCATTTCTAAACCACTTCTCTACAAGAACAGCCTTTCTTTTCGCCTTGGTTGAGCGACTCCTGTTCTCTTTGTTAAACTGCCATTATCGATACCTTTGTCTACCAGGTTTTGTTTTTTCACTCCCCTCTTCATGGTGACACAGTAGGCCCAGTGTCCTCCGCATGGTGTGATCTCCACTCTTGGCCCAGGAGTGGTGAATAATCTCGCCTAAAGTCCCCTTCTCACCTGCACTGATCGGTGGGCCTTGAATCACATCTTTTGAACCTTAGTTTCCTCATCTATAAAATATAACTATTACCTACCCTGCTGTGATGGGGATTAATGACATCATCTCTGCAAAAAATTTAGAATTACAAATGCTGGCTAAGAGTATAGACACACTCAGGCAAACCCATGCCTTCCTGGTGGATTCCAGTGTTTTCTTTAAGGCTTACCTCAAGTTCATTTCTTTGAAACCTTCTCTAGGTAGTTCATTACTTCATATTTGGTGATACCCTAAAACCTCAGCCAAATACTTGTTTTAGCTCTGACTAAAGAGATTACGAGTAAACTAGAGGGCAAAAAAAGTGTGTAAATAAGTAAGTAAATAAATAAATAGATTTGACTTGACTTTTTAGAGTAGATTTTGGTTCTACAGAAAAATCCGAGTGGGTAGAACGCATGCCCTCTTTCCTCCCCATCCCTTACAGCTTTCTTTAATTATTCACATCTTAGATCATTATTATATGTTATAATTGATGAATCAAAATAGTACACTGTTATTCACTAAAGTCCATAGTTTGCACTAGGTTCACTCTGTTTTGTGGGTTTTGACAAATGCAGAATAGCATGTATGCACCACCACACAATCACACAGAGTATGTCACTATCCCAAAAATCCCTTCTGTTCTAGCTCTTCATTCCTCCCTCCCCTCTCATGCTTGGCAACCACTGGTCTTTATATTATCTCCACAGTTTTGACTTTTCCAGTATGGCCTATAATTGGAAACATACGATGTACCTTAGCATGTAATTACTTTATTTTTGATGGCCTCCTAAGACTTCACACACATACACAATTATTCTGGCACTAATCAAAGACAGCATGATGGTTTTAAAAATGGTATCTTTTTCCCCCCCCTTTGTTTATTTACTCTGGGATCTCCCATTAGGTACATGGTAGGTACTAGGTAGTACCTAGTATTATTAATAAAAGAATAATAATGATAATAATAATGCATTACTAGTTACTACTGTATGCTTAAAAGTAAATTACAACTCACAAAGTGAAAAAGAAATCATTTCTTAAAAAGTTTCTAAAATCAGGCCCTCCCTGGTGGCGCAGCGGGTTAAAGCACAGCACTGAGAATCTGAAGCCACTTCCGCATGAGTTCGATTCCCCCCTGCCTCCTGCCCCGGAGGTGACCACATGGCGTGGCAGACCTCTCCTGACCCGCCCGCTGCTCCCCTCAGTGTATTTCGTCGATTTGCCTGTTCTGCTCCCACTCTGTCTCTGGTGAAGCCTCTCACCGCCCCTGAGCCTCTGGCCTGTACCCCAGTTCTGTATGAATAAATAAATAAATCTTTAAAAAAAAAAAAAGTTTCTAAAATCAGGTATCTGACATAAGACTGCAGCTCCTTTTTGCCTGATTTTTATAAGTCCTATTGAAGAAATAATTTTTAAACACTCAAATTTTCATTTATATTTATTTTACATAAACATAAAATGAATTAAGCCTAACCAATATTAATCATATGAATTGAAACCAGGTCTTCATTTGGTCAGTCCAATATTTCACCAAAGTGACCACTTTCTCCTGGTTAAGTAAATTTCTGAACCATATTAAGAACTTAAGCAAAGTCCAAATGAACCAAAGTTTATTTTTAAGGAGACAGAACTTTAAAGATAAAATCAATAATCCAAGTACAATAAAGACAGAACATTCATTTCTCCTATTCCTAGCAAGACTTTTTCCAATTTTATTTCATTTTTTATTGAAGAACATTGCATTATAACATTATATAAGTTTACATGTGCATTGCCGGGAAACAGAGATTTTTCTTAACTCCAAAATTCTATGCACACTCCTAATAAACACCATAGCCAAAAACTATAATTTGAAATGAATCATGTAACCAGGGTTGAATTTTTGGCTCTGATCAAACTCGTCCATTTTAAGACTCAAGTTAATTGTTTATTTCCCACTGACTTCAAAAGTGTGGGAGAACAGATGGGAGAGAAACAGACAACTCCCTGTTTACTTAAAAACAGGCTTTGAACAATGAGGAACAAGTTAAGGAGACAATTATGTTATAGCATATCTTAAAACAGATGGGAATATTAACTAAGGAATCTTTAAGTAAGCCTCTAGACCTGAGCTGCAAGGGAAAATGAATAAATGCATGTGCTAGGAAATGGACTATAATACTAGAATTATATTGTTCAAGATTTTAGAAAACATTGTTAAAAGTCAATTAGAAAAATCCTTAGACAGAAACTCAGAGATTCTAACACCTTCTTGAACTTGTTACATTGTTTGCAATATACAAACTGCTCCCTAAATATCTTTCAGAATCAAACCAGTAATTTTATAAGTATTAACCTGGTGATCCTTATAAGCATTAAAGATTATGCTAGCTACCATGCTATAAGCCAGAGCATTCTTTGGGCTTTACCTCCATCCTTTCATTCAATCTTCAGAAGAAACTCCAATTTTTGACATCAGATAAAGCTGAGTGTGAATACTACCCCTGTCACTTAGGAGCTGAATGATTTAGAGCAAGTTACTGTACATCCTTAGCCTCAGGTTTTTAAAACATTGAGGTATAACAAATATGGTAGCTCTGCATGTGTGTGTTGGATATAATCCAAGATGAGCCCCAGTGATGCCCACCTCCTGGTGTTTATGTCTGTGTGAGCCACTTCCCCTGACTGCAGACAGAAATGCAGTTTTCACCTAGTCAATAGAATATAGCAAAGGTGACATGTCACTCCTATGTTATATAAGGACCTCATATACACAGACTGGAGGCAGAGATTCACTGCTGGCTTGATAAAGTTAAGTGGCCATGTTGGAAAGGTCCATAACAAGGAACTATAGACAACCTTTTAGGACTGGGGTGGTGAGCCTCCAAAAGATGGGGGTCTTGGCCAAATACTCACAGGGAAATAAATTCTGTTTACAACTTAAATGAACTTGGGAGCATGTTCATCCCTCCTTAGCATTCCAGATCAGAACATGAATCAGCCTATATCATGATTGCAATTCTGAGTGGAGGACCCAAGTAGGCTGTTCTTGAACTTTCTTTCACTAACCAAAGGAAGGCAATGAAATGAAACATGAGGGTTGCATGTTGATGGTGCTGAAAGAGAAATCCATTAAGTGTACTGATGATCAGGCGTGTATGAAGAGAGGGCAACATGAACCAGGCAGCCCAAGACAGGATAGCAGGTGGAAGATGTAGGTCTCACAGTGGAAGTCCCAGGACCATATGTCTATTTGGAAATCCCAAACTTATAGGCCAGTCTAACATTAAGGCATATTTGTCAAAAAGCTGATATGTTTGTAATGCATTGGCAATGTCATAATGTTAATTTAATGTTTGTGGCGTGGGGCTGCAGATAAAAGTCAGTCGAGGACACCCTCTAGACAGGATGCCCTCGTCTCCTCAGAGAACATAATTAGATATCAGCAAAAGATGTAATATAGACTTTATTCACACACATATTTAATATTGCTTTTTGTTTTGTACACTTGCCTTTATCACATTTAACTACATTATATATTGAAAATATATAATAGAGGGCCTCCCTGGTGGCCTAGGAGTTAAGTCTCAGTGCTGTCACTGTATGGCCTGAAGATGATCCAACCAGGGAGCTGACCCACATGATGCAGCAGACCTCTCCTGACCCTTCCGCTGCTCCTCTCACTGTATTTCAGCAAACCTGCCTGTTCTGCTTCCCTCTTTGTCTTTGATGAATCCTATTATGCCCCTGCACCCTGTCCAACATCCTAATTCTTCTATGTAAAAATAAACTTTAAAAATCTTAAAAAAAAAAAAAAAGAACTATATA